GACCTAAAAAAAAAAAAAACTTAGAAGGAGACAATAAAAAGTGATTTAAATATTTAAATTCGGATGAGGATATGTGTTCTGATCGAGCACGATGACAACATGCGATCCGTATAGTCGACTGTACTTAGATGTTAAATTTAATTAATTACATTTAAAATAAGTACTTCAATATGTTTCAGTTATGCGCCCACCGTGCATTGCATGAGTAATTACTAATAGTATAGATATAGATAGATAGATAAATATAGATTCACACTATAATGTACTCATTTGTTAGATTAACCAATCAGATGATAGTTTTGGCCGTGTAGAGGGAATACCGGAGGACCTGTACCATTGTTGATCCCTGCATCAATCTTTCCGCCCAAAGAAGTAAAGCCAAACATACTGTTATAAGATCTGATATTATCCTGAAAGTGTTTGCTATTGCGGCTATCTTCGTGTAAAAGCTCATTTAAATATGCAAGTGGATTATGGAGTACAAGCAGTTGTATCGCCTCGTTCATACAACAACCCTTATATTCAGGAAAAACTGTTGCCTTTTTAGAAGATTTTGGCTCAACATACCAAAACAGTGCTCCGCAATAAATACATTGACAGCTAGCATCACCCATGTCCCAGTACTCTACAAAATTTAAAATCTAAGAAAATATATTAAATTGAAACAATTGAGCTGAAAAAAAAAACAATAATGTTTTATTAACGTAAAAATTACCGGATTGGATCGATGTTGATCCAACAATCTTCTTCGGTCTACCACGTTTTCTTTTGGGAACGGAAAGGGGGACAGCATCATCCACGGTGAGATTGACTACATCATTGAATCAGTAAGAAAATAACTCAACAGGCAAAAATATATTAAATTGCAACAAATGAACAGAAAAAAAAAAAAAAACATATATAATGTTTTATTAACGTAAAACATACTGGATTTGGTCGAGGTGGATCCAACAATCTTCTTCGGTCTACCACGTTTTCTTTTGGGAACAGGAAGGGGGAGAGCATCATCCACAGTGAGATTGACTACATATATGAACTCAATAGGCAAAGACCACTTTTTATCGCTATTAATAGCAGGTACGGAATTCCGTTGAAGATGAACTGTACATTTTTATTAATTTATTTAATTATTTATACCAAATAAAATATAAGAATGAAAGAATTTGACGTTTGAAAGATATAAAGCTTACTTATGTTTGATTGATTCGGGGGGCATATTATGCATAACTCCCGAACCATCATCATCATCATCAGTATCACTTGTAAGGTCTATGACAATGTTTTATGTAATATTTTTTGATAAAGTGTCATTAGGTTGTATGGCACGACCTAAAAGACAAATAATTTATATTAGTACATTTAAAAAAATTCATGTTGAATAATTATATAATTCAAATAAATAGGATAATGATCATAATACATTGTTATAAAAATAATCTTAAAAATAGGAATGACTTACTGTTTTTAACAGTATATGCGATTTGATGTCTTTGGGTAGAAGAACAACCAATGTTTAACTCTACATAAAAATAATAATAATAAGAAATAAATACTTAATTCATTTATAAACAAAATTAATAAAGTACATTTAAATACGTTCAATGTAACATACCATGTGCGACACCAGATAATGGCGTAATATGAGGACTATGCAACACACTTTGATACTTATAGGACGTATAACCCAAATTACTTGAGCTTTGTTTAGGAATCAAAGATGATACATGGCTCGGTGGTGATGACATACAACCTATTTATATGAATATTTATTAAATAATAAATTAATAATGTATAATTAATAAGATTAAAAAAATAATACGCACTATTTATTATAAAAAATACTAAAATAAAGTATGAATTACTTTTTCTAGTATTGTATGGAGTCTGAATTATTGGTGTGTAAGAACGACCAATTCCAAGCACTAAATTTAAAGTAATACATAACCTATTATTAAATTAAATACGAAATAAAGTATATTATGTAATTAAAGTATGAATTGAATAACATAATACCATTTGTGACATCAGATAATGGTAAGGTCTGAGAACCATGCAACACACTCTGATTTTGATAGGAGGAAATGTTCGATTGATTATTGTTTCGTTGTGCAATAAAGGATGATCCATTGACAACAGGTGACTTCATAGAACCTGTAAAAATGAATACAAAGTGAAAATTAGGCTATAAATTGTTGATTAAATTTTTGTAAAAAAAATGGTAATTTGGTAAGTATATTGTGTTAATAAATTACTAAATTTAAATGAATTAATAAATGTAAAAAAAACTGATTGTGGTAGATTGGTAATTATTTTATTAAAAAAATATAAAATAAAATATTATTCAATGCCAAAACCCATAGTTCAAAGCACCTTCAAGTTGTAACTAAATAACCATAGACCAAAAAGAAACATATTTTTTTAGTCCCCTTAACTGCGACTCAGTTCAGGATCCCGTCAAACATCCCCCATCATTTTCTATACAGCGAAAAAATAAGACTGCTTTATCCATAATGAATTGGTTCAGAATTATTTATTTATTTGAAAATAATTACCCTAATTTTACCCCCAAATTGATTTTGCCCTAATTTTAGTCCCAAATCAATTTTTGCCCTAATTTTGCACAGTAAAACGTATTCTTGAAATACGTTTTCTTTAAAAAAAACGTATTTTCATAATACGTTTTACTGCAGAAACAGTACCTATGCAGAAAAATTAAAAAAAAAAAAGAAAAACACACCTGTTAATCGAGATCGATTCCACAACCAAATATTAATTCCACAAGCTCATATCAATCCATTCGTGAAAGAAAGAAAAATCAACCACAATAATTTAATAAAAATCCAAATATGTCCAAATATCATTACACAAAATCCCAAGAAAGAAAAAAATAAATATATATGTCCACAAAATTCCCGGGAATTAACACAAACTAACTAGGAGTGTATCGATTCGTAGGGTTGCGCGGTCGGGAGCTAATCCGACACCGTGGTGGTCGTGAAGAAGACGATGCTGTGGGCGTGGCAGGTTCTTCTTCTTATTCTTCTTCAGCTGAGTAATTCATTTTTTCAAGAAATCAAAAATTGGACTTGACAAAAATCACAAAAAATAAATAAAAATATATTTTTGTTAAGTAAATTTTTTTTACCTTCTTCTTGTCTTCCTCAGGCCCGGTGTCGGCAACAGGTTCGCGGTGACGTCGTCTTCTACCTCCACGAATGTGGGCCGGAGGTTGATGCCTCGCCCGGTGTGACTACGTTCTCTGGGGTCGGACGTAGCTCTCCTGCGATAAAACTTGGCTCGACGACATCCCTTGAGCGATCTCTCCGCCTCCGACAGTCAGAGAAGTGAAGAGAAGGTTCTTGGCATGTTGGATTGCCGCCTGCATCTCTGGATGGGCTGTATGATATAGGTGCTAAACATTGGATAACACGTTATAAGCCCCCTCCATGGCGCTAGCCTGAAAATTAAATTCAAAGTAATTTGTATGAAACGCAAAAATAAAATAATAATAGGAAAAAAAAAACAAACAAATTATGAACACTTACATCGCACTTCCCATGCTCGGCAAGTGGCTGATAGTCTCCGTCCTGTTGGACCACCGGGTATTTGGCAGGGTCACTAATTAGTCTCACAGTCCTACTGTGAAACCAATCAAGGTAACCCTCGTCAGGCTGTACGAATGACTCCACATGCTCATCTGATAGGACATTTTGGTGTCTTTGTTCGATCCAAACATTCCCAAGCTCGGAATGAAAGTCGACCCAATCATATACTGCCCTCCCAGTCATTCTTTGGCCTCGGTGGTGTGTCTCCCAGTCGGCCTCACCCGTAATGATCGGAGTGTCGGGGATGGACTGATAACACACGAACTGACGGAGAACCCTACCCAGCTCTTGGGTTTCACGGATGTTCCAACAGAACATCCACCCCCTATACATCCAGAGGCTTGAATGTTCTGTACATTGGGCCGGGAGAGTATTAGCATTCAGGTGCTATTCATACGGCATCCAATCAAACTGTAAAAAAAAAAANNNNAAAAAAAAATAAAAAATTAAGAATTAAGTTATTAAAAGATAAAACACATAAAACAAATGTAAATAATAAATAAATAATACTTAATACTAATCTTACATCCGTCTCTCTTAGCCCTGTCAGTTGATCCCGGACAGCGGCTGTTCCAGTGACTATGTGTTTCGTGTCCTTCCATCCCACCCACCTTAAAAATCACAGAAAAAAACACTTTGTAATCTTAAAATTTGATAATTGAAATAATCAAACTATTAAATATATAAATAAATATCATTACCTTCCACCTAGGGGACAACCAAGGACTCTGTCAAAGTTCGTATCCCTCATTTTCGGGCGAAGCCGAGGGATACGTTCCCATGCCCAAACCTACACATATCGGCATATTCATTTGTTATTAAATATTAGTCTACATTGGAATAAAAAAATAAAATTCGAAATAACAAGTAAATAAATATACCTGAATCAATTGGACACAACTCTTGATCCAGCCTTCCCCGGTCTGGTAGCTTGTGCACAACGCTCTATACACTGCGGCCAAGAGCGCCGACCCCCAGCTGTACTCCTTGATCTTATCGATGTCGCGCAAGAGC